TGGGGGAGCCCAGGACAGGACCCCACTGGGCCCCCCCACAGCCTCAGGCCCCGGGCCCCCGCACCGGTTGCACTGGCGGTAGTTCCGCCACTGGATGGAGAGTATAACAGTTTTTGCCTTGTCAAGCATTGGCAGTGGAATCTTGACTTTAGGAGACTGAAGCATTACTCTGTGACAGATCTTGTTCTCTGGTCTGCCCAGTTATATCATTCCATACTGGTGTCATCAGCCAGCATTGGAAACCATATCCTGCATCTCTTAAATAGGAAAGGACATAACTGAAATCATATTTACAATAAGGATACCAATATCTGTATAGTGCCTATATGAATAGCATTTTGCTAGGTTAATAAGCAAATGTGACAATGAAATAGAAGTTCTAGGTCTGGGTCTTATTTTCAGGGGATGTCTTATTTTTTTTTAATGTGCAACAAAATGTACAACAATCTAAAGTTATTCATGTACAACAATCCAAAGTTATCTGGTATCACTCCCCCTGTCACAGTAACTGGCGCTGTAGAGGAATATCGGCTAATGCGGCTCTGCTCCCTCCACCGCCGCAGCCTTGTTTTTTAGAGCGCCAGCTTCCTTTGCCACCAGGGACAGTGGTACCAGCGGTGCAGCGGTGGGGACATCAGACAGTGGACAGCGTGGTAAAGTACGGTACCTTTTACCGGTACACATTACAGTACAGTACAATTACATTAAGCAGTGCCTTCAGGGGGACAGCAGTTGATGAAGTATGGTACTGGAGTGCGCCCTGACACTGTGCTGGCTGGAGGGAGTCCCCTGTCATCCCCTTAATACAGTATGTCCCTGCAGACTGATGCCATCTCCCTGCAAGTTCCCCCTCACATGCTACCACCAAACTAGTTCTTATTTTCGGGGTAGGTCTTATATTACAGGAATCTTGAAAAATAGTGCTAGGTCTTACTTTCGGGGTAGGTCTTATTTTCGGGGAAACAGGGTATATAGGGGAGCTTAGATCCCTGTGGCCATATTACAAGACGAGATTAATGTGGGGTATGCCAATTTTATTTTATAGTTCTCGGGGCCCATATATATGGGCAATTCTGAGCAGTACTACATTTGATGGTTATATAGAAGATGTGGATCCCATGATATAAACTTTATATTTTAGCTTTGTGACATGGTGAGTTATCCCCCTTGAAGCAGCCATCAGAAGATGGGTAAACTATGGTCATAAAGGGATGGACATGGTCAGCAACAACACTTAGGTAGGCTGTGGCATTTAAGAGATGCTCATTTGGTACTAAGGGGCCCAAAGTGTGCCGAGAAAATGTCCCCCACACCATTACACCACCACCAGCCTGAATCATTGATACAAGGCAGGATGGATCAATGCTTACTTGTTGTTTATGCCAAATTCTGACTCAACCATCCCAATGTCACAGCAGAAATCAAGACTCATCGGTTCAGGCAAAGTTTTTTCAATCTTCTATTGTCCAATTTTGGTGAGCCTTTCCGAACTGTAGCCTCAGTTCCGTGTTCTTAGCTGACAGGATTGGCACTTGGTGTGGCCTCCATTGGTTATTCGAGTTACTGTTGCCTTTCTATCCGCTTGAACCAGTCTGACCATTCTCCTCTGACCCCTGGCATCAACAAGGTATTTTCTCTTTTTCATGCCATTTATTGTAAACCCTAAAGATGGTTGTGCATGGAAATCCCAGTAGATCAGCAGTTTCTAAAATACTCAGACCAGCCCGTCGGGACCCAACAACCATGCCACGTTGAAAGTCACTTAAATCACTATTCTTTCCCATTCTGATGCTCGGTTTGAACTTCAGGAGATAATCCACATGTCTACATACCTAAATGCATTGAGGTGCTGCCAAGCGATTGGCTGAATAAATATTTGTATTAACAAGCAGTTGAACAGGTTTACCTAGTAAAGTGGCCAGTGAGTGTATATGAATAGGTAATTTATATATTACAATATAGCCTGTTAACCACTTCCGGGCCGGCTGTAGTAAAAAAACGGCCGGCCCGGAGCTCTCTAGATCGCGCGCTACTGGGCGCGCGCGAGCGGGAAACGGCCGAAATGTAAAAACAGGCAGCGGTGCCTGTTACCATACAAGCGATCCGTCGGCTGTAGAGCCGGCGGATTGCGTGTATGGGGTGCCGATCGGTCCCCCTCCGCGGCCACCCCCCCGCCATCGTTGCGCTGATCCCGGGCTCTGCTGTGCCCAGTGCGCGCCCGGGATCAGCAGGTCGCCTGTGTCACGGGATCAGAGGGAGCTCGGTACACGAGCTCCCTCCGGTCCCCTCTCCTCTGCAAGAATGCGGAAGTGTTGTATAATACATCACTTGTGTATAATGCATTCTTGTGTCACTCTCCAGCTTCAGAAGCTGCAAAGAAGCTGATGGAGCAGATCTGTGCTTCATCAGCTTCTTTTGGGGGTCCTAGGTGACATTAGGGGTCTTGGAGACCACTGATGTCTCCATAAAGAGGACCTGTCACATATTTTGCTATCACATAAATAAAAAAGAATAAAAAAAATAAATGTTAAGTCCCCACCCATACATACACGCATGCAAACATCCGTCGGGTGCGCATACGTGCAAAAAAGACGATTGCGCCCATTACGCCGCACGTTACAAATCGCCGCGAACGTCGGAGTGAGAGCAATAAGTCTAGGGCCATCAATCACTGATAACGCTAAACTGATGAGCGGTAAAAGCTTTTAAAGTGTCGCCTATGGCCAATTTTGGGTATGGTAGTTTTCTGCGATTTCGCGGGTGCGCGCAATTTTAAAGGTTGACATGTTTGGTGTCTATTTATGCGACGTGACCCCGACTTTTATATTTTACCAAAAAAGTGGGTAATAATAAATGTTTCCTAACATAATGTTAAAAAAAACTTATTTTTTTCAAAATTTTCTTTAATTTTTCCTAATTATAGTAAAAAATAAAAACCCCAGTGGTGTTTAAATACCACCAAAAGAAAGCTCTATCTGTCCCCAAAAAATGGTATAAAATTCATTTCCGTACAGTGTTGCATGACGGAATAAATGTCAGTCAAAGTACCGCAGCACTGAACACTGAAAAATGGCCTGGCCAGGAAGGGGGTCTAAACACCTGGTCTTAAGTGGTTAACAATAATATATTATAACAACAATACAGTTCATTTGATCAGCATACCTTAAACAGATCATAGCACAAATTTTTTATCTCTGACCCATCGCATTTATTGGCTTTATCTTATTTAAGGTATAATGGCCCACCAATCTGCCCCCACTACAGTGACGTGCTGTACCTTTGGTTCCAGGTGAGGCATTCCCCAGCCTTGCCCCCAGCATGCACCAGTCCTGCCTCCAGCCCACCGAAGTCCCACCCATATAACGACATAACCCCGCCCCTAGCCACACCCCCAACCCAGTCCCCAAGCTAGTGTAAAGGAGGAAGGGAGGAGACAGGGAGGAGCCTCCCTGTCCCTCACTTACTCGTTACTGCTGAGGCATCGAGATCGATGGCCTTAGTGGTTCTTTTTTTGATTGGACAGCTTGGACCAATGGCGCTTTGCCATTGGTCCAAACCATCCACAGAGCTCACGCCTCTAACGCTGTAGAGGCTGTGACAGCTCTTGCTTTACTAGTTAGGTTACACAAGCAGTGAGGAAGCCTGCAGCTGTGCAACCTAACTACATGTTAAAATCCGGATGCATCGCTGCCTGTTACAAGCCGATTTGAATGGAGAAAAAGCTGTCAGCTTCAGACTTGAAGCTGACAGCTTTTTCCTCCATAATACTAGGTGAGGCAGAGCCTCACCTGCCTCCCCTGACCGCACATCTCTGCTCCACTACATTATTTTTTGCTTGGTATTTATTTTGGGGATGTGGTGTATGTGAGCCCATAGTACCAGTCCATGTATATAGCAAATTATAAATTAGACGCCACCTTACAAATTATAAATAATATGTGCAAAACCCAAAAATAAAACACTATAATACAATCAATATGTCACCCTAACGCAGTGGCGTAACCAGAGTAACGGGCGTCCGGGGCAGAACAAAATTTTGCGACCCCCCCCCCGGTGATATGTGGGGGTGTACAGGTAAAATGAGAGCATGCTGGGACATATTGTAATTGAACTACAAGTCCTAGCACACCCTCATTGTGCCTCTACACCCCCCAAAATATTAACCAGGGAACTACAAGTTCCAGCATGCCCTCATTGTCCCTGTGTCCCCCCAAATATCACCCAGGGAATAGTAACAAGCTGATTGGCAGGCTCCTGTCCTCCTTCTGTTCAGGGGAGCACAGGTCCCTGTAGGGAAGGAGCCTGCCAATAAACTGGTTATCATGGCAAGTGGACCATGACATTTTTTACTTTTTAATCACCTTTTTATTTTTTTAATTTAATCATTTTTTTCTTATTATTTTTTACTTATTTTTTATTTATTTAATTATTTTTTTATCAATGTTATTTCACTTAACTTTATCGCTATCACACAGGAGCTAACAAGCCCCTGTTTTATAGCATTTGGAGGTGACAGGTTCTCTTTATTGAACCTGTCACCTCTAAGACAGGAGTTCTAGCACAGCACCTTTTCTCAGCTGGCCTTGTCAAAATGCCCTGTATCGCTCCCGATACCGATGCTAGCTTCGGTTTCGGGACATCCCTAATTTCAATCCATTCAACAGTGGATTTTCAAACACTTTCTGCATTTCTTTTACAGAAAGATGAATGGGCTATAACATTTCTGTTATACATGCTTTGCTGTTTTGTAGTTTCACTAGGGTGACATAGTGACAGTACTAGAATACTTTTTTGGTGGTTGCACATATTCAGATGAAATGTTGCCTGATTGACCAGTATCCCATCCCAGTAAAACATCCAAGCTAAATGAACACCTTCATAAATGCGCATACATTCGCTAGTCTAAAATAAAAATAGAAAAAACACTTACCCCAAGTGTAGGATATATGGCTTCTACCTCTACACCATCTTTTGTTACTTAAAAAACAAGTGCTGTACTTCTCTTTTTCAGCAATGACCTCTTATGTTGGTAACAATGGAACTCTGACAGTAATTATCAACAGCATCTTGCTGCAGGTAAGTGGTTAATTATTCGGTAATCATTGAGACAGTGCAGTAAAGTTAACTTCTTCTCATGATCTCTTATTTCTATTTGCAGCATTACAGAAAAGGAATTGTACATAATGTCCGCCAGAACTGCGATACAGATTATGTTGATCACGTGGTCTTGATTGTAGGATACGTTAATAGTAAGATATAAAATATTATTATTTAATGCATGACCCATCCATTGTCAACAAGAGTCCATGAACGCTTTCTGAACCAAGCACATTTAAATACTCTTTTCTTAGATATTTAGTCCTGATCTTTAGCAAGATAAGTCAGCAGTTGCATGTTTAAGCTAAACTTAATACACCATTGAACTTCATATACATAAGGGCTGTTTTATCTGTAAAATGATTTGCATTTCTGTCCATTCAGTGCTGAGATTTACAAACCTTGCCAACTAAAACCCAAACCCAACACTAAGAGTAGGACCCCCTCATATTGGTCACTCCAAGTGAACAGACCCAAGAACTGAAGCATTTTGGGGTGGGCTGATCCTTTCAAGTGAAACTTTGATTTATATTCAATAGGTACACATGAAATTGCTCAACTAGTACTAAATGCCCTAAAATGGACTATGAGAATATTACCAACAGAGCTTAACTGCCAGGCTAAAGCAATAACCCAAGACAAGATAGGTGCATGGATTTCATAGTATTGTATTCAGTGATTTTAAAAACTCCATGCGACAGGGCCATTCGTCCCTGTTGTTAATAACAAGAAGGAGGTAAAATGTGCAAGTGATTCTTCTGGCTCTCACTTGTAAATACTACAGACAGAAAGCTGCCTCGGGG